GGCATCATACTTTCAAATATACATACAAAAATATATTTTTACAAAGCGACACCATAGTTACAAAATTTAGGTTGCTGTTCTTGAGACCTACTAGTATTTCTCTCCACAGATGAGTCTTTCAACATTGGATTGAAGTTTGAGATTGCCTTTGAAGTCCGTCCCAGAAGCAGTTCCGGAACCCTTGTTCACGGCCACAGTGTCAACGGGGAGTACCTAAATGTTCACATGAAAAATGGTCAGGTAGTGTGTTGAAAATTTTGTTAACAGGCTGTCTCCTGTGACCTTGGCTTCTAGATCTAAAGAAGATATATTTTACAGAAGGATTTCATCAATCTTTCCTAACTGGGAGGGGAAAAAAACAGGGAAGCTATAACGTGAAATTTAGATGCAGGCAATATTGAGATTCAAATTTAGGTATATGCTGGGAATTGATTTGATTAGAACAAAGAGCCATGAAAATGTGACATAGGTTTTTAAAAAAACATCAACAATAACCATATAATTAAAGGGTTTTAACAAAATAATTGGACCTTTCTTTTTACAACAAACAGAAGCAGCAAACATACCCAATTATCAAAACCTACAAACATTAAATCAACTATCTAGAATCTATGTATACTAGATGTATATACATACATATATTATGTTCAAAGCTAGAAATTTTAAAATTGTTATAAATACAACTTTCATACTAAAATATTACTAATGAACTTCCATGAGATCATTCAAATATAAGAAAAAGCAACATATTTTGTTGGTGTCCCTAACTTGATATAACTGATTTTGAGTTCTGATACCTTCTATTAAACCATATAATAATAATAAAATGAATCCTTCTATGGTGCTTCCTATGTGCGAAGCACTATTCTAAATGCTCCATGTGGACTAACTCATTTAATCCCCAGTAGTTCTGTGAGGTGGGTATTATTATCTTCCTTGTTTTACAAATGAGAAAACTGGCAGAGTAAGTGGGAGCACGGGGACATGAACCCAGGCAGTCTGGCTCCAAAGTCCATGCTCTTCGCCAATGCCACAGGTGCTTTGTCTAACACCTTTAAAAAGTAAAGGACTTCATTCTGTTATCTTATTCTTTCTCTTCCTCATCTCTCCTGTCCTTATTTTGTTCTCTCGTCTCAGAGCATTCAGTTTAAACTACTTCATAGCCTATTGCAGAGTGACCCCTTGTGTTCAAATTGCAAAGCATGTATAGATGTTTGTTAACCAATGCTTCCCTCTGAGTTATTTAAGAAATTTCGTTTTATCATGATGAAGAGAAATTAATTAATATATATAATGTAACCTGGTCTTTTGCAGGTCATAGTGAAAGTCAACAATGGCATTAGAGACTTTTCCACCTCAGTAACTCCCAAGCAGAGTCTTTGTGATGGCAGATGGCACAGAATTACAGGTGAGGAGAGCTGTGTCCTGGGTTTCCTTATACAGTGAGTCCACACACCCACCTGTGGGACGCTGCTGGCAGAACTTAGACTATAACCCATATGATGGGATAGAAGATCAATGAGAGTCTAGAACAGCCGTGGGCAAACTACGGCCCGCGGGCTGGATCCGGCCCGTTTGAAATGAATAAAACTAAAAAAAAAAAAGACCGTACCCTTTTATGTAATGATGTTTACTTTGAATTTATATTAGTTCACACAAACACTCCATCCATGCTTTTGTTCCGCCCTCCGGTCCAATTTAAGAACCCATTGTGGCCCTCGAGTCAAAAAGTTTGCCCACCCCTGGTCTAGAAGTAGCTGAGAAGAGAGTCAAATGTTATTGTACTAAAATGTATATTGAATCCACATGTTATTTGAAAATGCTGCCAAAATAGTCTTAGGGAGTTATTTAAATAATGCATAACTTATGGGGGAAAATGTGGCAGTATCTTAAGTATGCTTAAATATCTATATGAAAAGAGTATCAAAGGAAAATGTCACAATGATTGCTTGGTTAGACATTGATGTTTTCAATGATATAAAAGTAAGTGTGGGATTTATTCTGAATAAAACCTATTGCTGTTGTGATAAATAAGTTTATGTGAAAATGAATCACGTCAGTGCCATCTTTAACCAGTCTTTGCCTTGTATGCCTTGTATTTTAGTTATTAGAGATTCAAATGTGGTTCAGTTGGATGTAGACTCTGAAGTGAACCACGTGGTTGGACCCCTGAATCCAACACCAGTTGATCACAGGGAGCCTGTGTTTGTTGGAGGTGTTCCAGGTAAGAATTGTTTAAAAAGGACAAGTTTCAAATCTGAAAAACACTAAGTTCTCATCATTATCATTATAGTGTTGAGAATTGAGCCAAGAGTTTTCACAATTCATCTAATAACTCTAAGGATTTTATATACAACTAGAGGCCTGGTGCACAAAAATTTGTGCACTCGGCGGGGAGGGGGGGTCCCTCAGCCCGTCCTGTGCCCTCTCGCAGTCTGGGACCCCTCAGGAGATAATGACCTGCTGGCTTAGGCCTGCTCCCGGGTGGCAGAGGGCA